ACTTCCCTACAAGAGGCAAAGCTGAAGCTAACCCAGGCAGCCGGCTCCAGTCTGCAGGTCACCCTCAACAGTCACCTGCCTCTGCACATTGGAAATGCAGCCCGTTCAGAGACTCCATTCTCATCTCTCCCACGAGACCAAATCTGGGGGTTCAAGACCTCAAGTGATAAAAAGATGAAGCAACCTGCCCACGCAGCAGTGGTCTTGTGACTCCAGCAATCAAAGTCCAGGCCACGTTTATGTGGAGTGAAGAGCAAATTAGAGAAAGAATTAGAGAAGGGCCTGGAGACAGCGTAGGGTCACAGTGAACCAAGGGGACCTGGATTTGGTGATTACGGAAGGAGGAGGCGGCGCAGGGACGGGTCCCCAAACAGCACAGAAGTCGGACTCAGGACCAAGAGCAATTCCGAGGTGCTGAGGGTGTACAGTCAGGGCCAGGCCACGGGCACCAAGGGTGGGGAATACAGGGGGGTTGAAAAGTAGAAAAGAGGCTGATTGGGTGGGAGATCTGGAAGTGCTGGCTGTGGGGTGAGTGGGAAGGAAGAGCCTTAGCAGTAGTTTTTTTGTTGTTATTGTTATTCTTTTTAGTTATACATGACAGTAGAGTCTATATTGATGTATTTATACAGATATGGAGTCTTTTTATTCTAATTAGGATCCCAGTCTTGTGGCTGTACATGATGTGGAGTTTCACTGGTCGTGCATTCATATGTGAACATAGGAAAGTTCTGTCCAGTTCAGTCCACCGTCTTTCCTATTCCTACCCCCTCTCCCTTCCCTTCATTCTCCTTTGTCTAACCCACTGAATTTCTATTCTGTCTGCCCCCTTAATGTGTGTTAGCATCCGTGCATCAGAAAGACCATTCGACCTTTGGATTGGGAGGATTGGCTTAGTTCACTTAGCATGATAGTCTCCAGATTCTTTCACTTACTGGCAACTGCCATAATTTCATTCTTCTTTATGGCTGAGTAGTACTCCATTTCATATAGACACCACATTTTCTTTATCCATTCATCTATTGAAGGACACCTAGGTTGGTTTCATATCTTAGCTATTATAAATTGAGCCACTATAAACATTGATGTGGTTGCATCACTGTAGTATGCTGATTTTAAGTCCTTTGAGTGGTAGGGGCAAATGGTGGTTCCATTCCTAGTTTTCTGAGGAATCTCCATAGGTTAACAGTAGTTTTTAATTAAAAACAGTAGTTTTTAGTAATGCACTGTGCACATTTGTCCCATTTTTACAATAACAACAATTATTGAAATTAGCATTTAATGAATATTTTCTAGGAGCCAGGCACTGTGCTAAAGGATCTACATGCACTGACTTATAAAATGAATGCATCTGCATTACACACCACAGGGTACGTTCCAAGCCCCCTGCAGATCCCAGCCCCTCTTTCGGATCTCCATTCCAGCTTTTCCTCACCCTCCCCACATTCCACACCTTGGATATGCTATTAATTGCCTTATTTGGCAGACAAATTGAAGGTATAATTATGTCCATTTTACAGATGTAGAAACAGAAGCTTGGAGGCAATATGCCTCTCAGGCACAATTGTGCAGGTAGAAGGTCTGCAATTCAGACCTGAGATGGTAACTACACGTTGGCATGTTCTCCAGCCCCCATGGACAGTTGGTTCTTTGAGGACAATAACTGTCTCATTCATCTCCACTGCTCCAGAGCCTGGCACACAAGTGCCCTTTAAAATGAGTTCAGACCTGTGGCCACTCCCAGCAAGCTGTGTTAGTTGAATGAATAAATGAGTGACTGCAAGTACAAACTAACTGGTAGCTCTTTTGAGAACGAGCAAGGGGTGGCTCCCACAGGTGAGCTCTGGTTCCGGGAGGTGGGGACTCTGAAGGCCTAGTGGAATGGGAATTTTGAATGGCAGCTCCTATAGCCACCGTGGGAATAAAGAATGATCCACCCCAGAAAACAATGTTACAGTGTTGGCTTTTTTCCTGTTTTTGTATTGACAGGACAGGAAAAGGCCAGGGTAGACATGGGGACTGTATGGGGGAACTCTCTGTTCTGAAGGAAGAAAACAAATTAACATCACAAGAGGGACAATCTGACGTAAGGGTGTTGGAGAATTAGATGTAAAGCTGAAGATCCAGAAAGAGAAATGGCCAAGTGGGGTATGTAGGAAAGCCTGCCAAAGCAGGCTGGAGTGCCCGCTGATGCCCTGGCAGGGATCCGGGGGAGGCTTCTGGCCACAGAGCACCGACATGGCAGAGAGGGTTGTGGACGGTCTCCCAGGGCAAGCGTCCTGTGGGTTGGGACCATGGAGACGCCCTGGGCTCCCTTGTAGGACTGCTGCTCTCCCACAGGACGGGCCCCACAGGAGCCGTGGCCTCTGGTTTGCTAGGATAAGAGCTTTTGGACCCTGTGGATCACAACTCAGGGGTGCAGATGGGAAGAAGGAAAAATCAAAGAGACGTGGGGGAGGGGTAAGCGAACCACGGTGACTGCAGGTGGGGCATCTTGTTCAAAGGAGGAGAGGAATGGTGTCTGGGAGCCAGGCTCTGGGGAGCAGAAATGTCAGAGCTTTGAAATGTGCAAACAAGTTAGGAGAAGATGGAGTCACAAGGGCAAAACCCAGGACAGAGAAATACAGGGTGAAACAGAAGAAGGGGAGCAATGAAAATTGGAGAGTATTGAGTTTACAGGAAACTGATACTCGGTCTTCTGTGGCAACTGTTGCTTTGGCTTTGGGGATAAGAGAACTGTAAATATGGATAATATGTAAATACCATTTATAATTTTAAAAATCTGGGAGTCTCAAATGAGATCATCTTTCTGAGGGCACTCTGACAAGTATGAAGGAAGATGTTTGTGGCTGAGATGAAAGGACGCTGGATGTGGAATCTGAAAACCAGAAGCCAAGAGCCAGCTCTGGGCCCTGGGGAGAGGGCAAGCCAGGGGTCCCCTCTTGCTTGCCTCTGGCTCCTCAGCCAGCAAAGTGGCAATAACTCTTCTTTCCCATGATGGCTCTGAGGGCCTCTGAGAATTTGCTAGGGCAGCCACAACAAGTTCACCAACTGGGTGACTTAAAATAGCCAGATTGTCCCCATATGGGTCTGGAGAACAGAGTCAAAAAAAAAAAATCCAGTGTCAGCAGGTGTCCTTCCTGCTTCTTCTAGCTCCTGGCTCAGCGTTCCAATCTCTCCTTCTGACTTTTCTTCTTCTCAAGAGGACACCAGATATTGGATGACCCTCTCTTGACATCCTTAACTAGTTACATAGGGAAAGACCCTATTTCCAAATAAGGTGACAATCTTATTTGGAATAAAGTCCCAGGTGGACATGAATTTGGAGAAGATACTGACCCACTACAGGACCCAAATAGCAATGAAGCAAGAGCAGAGTATATTGAAAATATTTGCCACATGCTTCTTTTTGTCCCCTAAGAGGGTCACTCTCCTTATATGGCCTCTACCTTGCACATCTTATGGCTGCCATTGCTCACAGGGTGTGTTCTAAGCCCTCTGTGAGCCCCAGCCACTCGTCCAGGTCTCTGTGCTGGCTTTTCCTCACCCTCCCACATTCTCCATGCTGTAGCCTCATCTGATTCTTCCCTTTTTTTTTTTTCTGTTACCAGGGATTGAACCCAGGTGCACTTAACCACTGAGCCACATCTCCAGCCCTTATGGTATTTTGTTTAGAGACAGGGTCTCATTGAGTTACTCAGGGCTAAATTGCAGAAGCTGGCTTTGAACTTGCAATTCTCCTGCCTCAGCCTCCCAAGCCTTTGGGATTACAGACATGCAACACCAGGCCCGGCTTTCCCCTAATCTTTATGACCCAGTTGAACCTGCTTTGAGAAGCTTTCTCAAAGGACCTTGGATAAAGTCTTCTTACTCCAAACTCCTTTGACAGGAATCGTATTTTCCTTTCATCGGGCACTGAATTAGCTCTTCCGACCCCTCTATTAAGCCATAATATACCTCTTATTTTCTTATTTGACATTTTCTGACTTGAAGCCTCTTCCTGCACCAGTCAGGCACAACAGATTGGAAAAGTATCTCTTTCTTCTTCAAACCCCCAGAAACTAACTCTGTGCTTGGCACAATCTAGCGGGTCAGTCACTGTCACTGAGGTATTTAATTCTGATCGTACGGTCCTGCTCCTGCTGACGGTTCTTCGGCTGCCTCTCCTGGCCACGTGGTCAACCCGCCTCCCTCGACCACCTGTCATGGTCCACTGTGCGTCTTTTGCTCACTTGTTCACAAAAGGCCACATGATGCTTCCTCTGCTTGCCTTTAAGCTGCACTCCGGGGGTCTGGCTCATTCTCCCATTTGGGGGGCAGAGGAGCTCTCCCGTCCGTCCTTTGCTTGGTGCCTAACGCTGGTCTCCGAAAGCTGCACATGCGCATTCAAATGGCTTCAGCTAACCCTTAAAGGACGGGGCCAAATGAGGGATAAAAATTGCTGTGAACTTAAGTGAGGCTCAGACCCCACTAAGAAGGCCCCATGAGAGAACCAGGTCCCAGGTTCTGGAGCTGATGGCAGAAAGCAAGGGCCTGATGGGGAAGGGCAAGGCTTTGAGGAGTGCCTCCCAGCAGCCTCAGCAGCAGCAGTGAAGGGAGGGTGCAGAGGGCTGGCCCCGGCCCCACCCCCATGACCTCTAATCAACCTCTAAGACAATTTTCAGGGACCAGGCACAAGTGGGGAGATGTTCGAAACACAGGAAGGATCACTCCTGTGGGACAGATATGTAGTACTAAGGTACAATATTTGGGTGCAATATGCTGTGCCTTAAGGAGAACAGCATCCCTCCCTCTGAGTCAGCAAGAAGGCCCACTGGCCTTTCCCCTGCACTGGCCAGATGGCAGGATCTAGGACCTCCCATGGCCCCTGTGTCAAGATGACCAACAGCATTGGTTCCAGATGCTTCCTTGGCCTGAGTATCTGACATGCCCATGGGTAAACTGAAGGTGCCCTGGGCAGGAAACAGACACCCCCAGGGCTCTGGTGGAAGGGAGTCACTCACCAGCATTATTTTGCTGCTTGGTGTTTTTGATGTAGGCAGAGAACTTGGAGAAGATGTCAATGCCTGCCGTGTTGGACTCCCGGTGTTTCGCAGCCAGTTTGGGGTACCTGGAATGGAAGACGCAGTGTTCTGTGAACCAATGAGATTGGGAACTCTTTTAAGGGTGAAGCCCTGTCACAATGAACAGCATTCTCCTGTCTAGCTATTCGTCTTTTGGAGGTTTACAGCCATCCTGCCGGAGATGGGTGCTCAGCCCTTGTTCACAGTAAGGAAACCAGAGGTTGGTGAGGTGCCGAGTTGCTGGGGGGACACTGTTGGGCAAGGAACCAGAATGCCACTCAGAGGTCTCAGGCCCTGTCCTCATTCTGGGCCCAATGATGAGGCACTGGTGAAAATCCTCTAATCAAAATGACTGGGCTCACCAGGTAGGGTCCCTACATTTCCCCTATCCACACTAAAGTATCTAGCCACTGCCAGGCCTGCCATCATAACCCCACCTGTGCAGAGCACAGAGATGCCTGGCACCCTAGCCCTCGAAGCCTTTTGCCAAAGGAAAATGCCCACAGCCTGCTCCTGAAATGTCCTCCACACATTTACTATTTGTGTATAGTAATAAGATGTAGTGGATACATATAAAGGATCAGAACAGTACCCAGCCTTATCAGCAGGACATTCATTTTCAAGGGTTTTTATTTCCAGGCACAGAGATAGATTTACAATGACCTAGTCCCTCTGATCCTTGAACCATCTTTCACTTTCTTTCCAAAAACAGAAGCATCAAGTGGTGGGCTGGACCTACGACCGCTGGCCTTGAGACAGAACAAGGTAAGACTGCTAATGTGGGAATATGCGGCTTTGACCCAGTAGCACCATCAGCCCGAGTAACTCTAATTTAAAATGATATTTCCCAAACACTTGCATGTGGATGGCCAGGCCGGGGTGGGAGGGGATAGGGGACAGTTGCCTGGTGATCCTTATTAATTAATGTGAATTTTTGTGATCTCTGGGTGAATCACTTTTGACTGTAAGCTGGTTGGTTCCTTTATGTCTAAAGAGTGAAATATATGTTTTTTAGTTTGGTTTAAAATTTTTTTTAAAGAGAGAGAGAGAAGAGAGAGAGAGAGAATTTTTTAATATTTATTTTTCAGTTTTCGGTGGACACAACATCTTTATTTTATTTGTATGTGGTGCTGAGGATCGAACCCAGTGCCCCGTGCATGCCAGGCGAGCGCGTTATTGCTTGAGCCACATCCCCAGTCCCTGGTTTAAATATTTTTAACCAAAACAACTCTTTAAAAATCAGTTCTCCCCGCCCCCCATTTTGCTCCTCAAATGGCTTATTATCTAGGACAGTGCACTCTTGGGGCCATAGGATGTGACTATTTAATTTCAGAGATATTGCAATTGGAAGAGTCCTCAGAAACTCATCAGATCCAGCTCTTGGCCATCAGGCAGGTATTGAAGGCACTATTTTCCTCATATGACAGTACAGGCAATTGAAGACTTAGCAAATAAAGAATGGAGAGGCGTGGAGAACTTGGTTTCCCTGCCCTGGAGCAGTGGCCCTCACACTTGATCACTGTGCTGCTCTGACAACAGTAAAAAGTAACTTGCACTGAGAGCCTACTATATGCTGGGTGCTGTTCTGATCCTTTATATGTATCCACCAGTCATTCCTCATAAGAATCCTATTGGTACTATTGTTATTCTTTTCCCACATGAAGAAACTGGAAGGTTTAGCAATTTGCCTGAGGTCATGTGGCTAGTTGGCAGAGCCAGGATCTCAACCCAGGCAGTTTTGCTGTGGAAGTCTAGTTCCTAACTTCCATGTTCTGTGAGCCTTTATCCACTATGTGCTTTCCCCTCTAAAGCCACTAAGGCCTTAAGACTGGGGCTGAGCACAGCGGTGAACTCTCCCCATCCACCAGAAGAGGGCGCTCTGCACAGTCCGCATCTGCCTGTGTTCCTTGGTATCTAGTACAGTATTGGGAATTATCTGATTCTTCTGCTGTGGCTGAGGGCATGAAGCAAACTTTCCTGCAAGATTCTGGATAATCTGCCAAGATGTGGCAATTGTCATTATTGGCCTTCTTACATAGAATCCAGCTTGTTATTAGAATTGATAGATTTAAATTATTAAGTGTTCTTTGTCACTGATGATCTAAAGAGAAAATACATTTCAGTGGACAGCCTGTTTGGGTTTATTTTGTTTTGCTCTATGTCATCATTTAGTGAAAATCCAATACTCTGACCATGTCTTCATAACCAGGGTAGACTGAATGGGACATGTGGTACCAAACCCGAGATAGGCAAAAAAGGATCCATATTCAGGTGGGGACCCTGGCCATGTCATCTGCTTCCTGAGAACTATGATTCATTGAGATTTTACTGTATAATGTCGTATTTCATTTGCAATTCATTCTTGTGGGAAAAGAGTCTACAAGATGTTAATCTCACAGATTTAAGTGACAAGCCCTGAGAAGCTTCTCTGTGGGATAAGTATATTCATATTTCTCCCTTATTCCAAATATGCAAAGGAAGGGCTACAAAGTTTCTTCTGTTTCTCTAAAAGACTAGCAAACCGTGTTTCATTCACAGAAACACCTTTGAAATAACAGTATGTTGGGGTCTGATGACAATTTAAAAAAAGATTAATTTCTCTTAATTAGGGGTTAGCAAAATATAGCTCATGGCCCCTGTTTGTGTATGGTCTTTGAGATAACAATGGGTCTGACATTTTTAGGTTTTTTTTTTTTTCTTCTTCTTCTTCTTTTGGGTACTGGGGATTGAACTCAGAGGCACTCGACCACTGAGCCATATCCCCAGCCATATTTTGTATTTTATTACAGACAGGATCTCACTGAGTGGCTTAGTGCCTCACTAAATTGGTGAGGCCAGCTTTGAACTCACAATCCTCCTGCCTCCCCCTACGGAGCTGCTGGGATTACAGGTGTGTGTCATCTCACCCAGGTGGATCTTACATTTTTAAATGGTTGAAAAAAAAAAATCAAATAAAGATACCACTCTGTACTGTGTGAAAATAATAATAAGTTTGAATTTCATTGCTATCAAGTAAAATTTTACTGGCACACAACCCAGCCCATTCATTTACATATCAGTCAAGGCAGCTTTCATGGTACAACAGCAGAGTGGAGGCAGAGCCCTGGGGCCCACAAAGCCAAAAATATTTAGTATCTTGCATTTTACTGATGTTTTGTTGGCCTTGACCTCACTGAAGAAAATTTCTCTTGCTGTTGTTTGTAAGATCTTATTCATTTCAAATGCACTCGTCTTATATCTGCACATAAATTTCATTCTAAGTAAAAGAGTTGACCTTTTACAAAAAAAAAAGAGATAATAATAAATGTTTTTGATAGGGAAAAAAATTTATTAGTAGCAGGGGGGAAAAAATGATTGCTGATAGTAAGTGCTCCAGCAGGTGGAGTTCCAGATGCCTTCTCACTGACACACAGGTCACTGTGCCATTGAATACAAGAACAGCGTGCACCTGCCAAGGGCCAGGCCCTGTGCCTTGTTTGGGGAACACACTGGAGAAAAAGAGAGACAGTCCTGATAGAGTGACCCTTGCTGATTCTGGGGTCTCTCCTGGCATAAAAACCATTTTTAAATGGTTTTTTCAACCATTTAAAAATGGCCCTCCTTCCTTTAAGAAGTAAGATGGGGAAGCACTTCCTGCCTCACCTTTCTCCATTATTCTTACTTCCTCACTTCACCAAACCCTTACCTGAGAGGCAGGTTCATGGTTCTGACATTTCTGACCCTTGACTCACTCCTGTTTGTCTTGCCTAAGCTATTTAAGCACAAGAACCTTGGAAGGTCTGGCTTCTTAATTAAAAGGCATTCCTTTTGGGATCTGTGTTTCAGCCTAAGGTCACTAGTTATCCTTATGACTGCACCTGGGAGGCAGCCACAAAGCAGGTGTGGACTCTCTAAGCTGCCATTTCATGAGCATTTACTCTGTGCCAGGCCCTGGGCTCAGCAGTAGTGTCTTTTACAAAAGCTCTGTAAAATCAATATCATGGCTCTCAATTTATAGATGTGAAAAACAAAGATCAGAGAGCTTTTCAGTAACTCGCCTGTAGCAGCGACTGCTTATGCTCACTAAACATCCATGTGCTTCTTGGTGCTTTTCAGCCTCCCTCTCTGTGATGCTGAGGTCCTGTGACTGGATTTTGGCCAATGCAGTGTGAGTAGAAGTGATGTATCCCCCTACCCCATGGCCCTGACCCTTAAATACACTTAGTGTGATCCCTTTTTTCTCTTTTTTTCCTGCAGAAAGAATCTTGAAGACCATATATTCCAAAAGCTACAAGATAGAAGAGGGTCACACTACCCACTCAGACTTGGCTCAAGTGGTATATAAAGGGGTATTCTGTTAAACCAGGGAGATTTTGTGGCTCCTTTGTTACTGCAGAACAGCACCACCTGGTGGTATGGATTGGAACCCAAGTCACTGGGACTCCAAAGCCCATCCTCAGTCCCCATAGGGAAGGATGCATGCAGAGATTGTTTCTCTACCCACCAGGTGGTTAGAAGAACATTCTTCATTTTTACAGTTATTGAACATTTCTACTTAAAAAAATAAAGAATTCAAAGTGTCTTTTTTAAGAAAATATTTTAGCTGTAGATAGATACAATACCTTTATTTTATTTACTTATATGTGATGCTGAGGATCTACAGTGCCTCATATGTGCTAGGAGAGTACTTTACTGCTGAGTCACAACCCCAGCCCTCAAAGTTGACACTCACAGTTCTGGCTGCTTGCTAGTGGATGGCTTGATAGCATGCTCTGTAATCAACTGTTTTAGTTTAGCCTCCTAAACTTATATGGGGCATCCATGCACTGGGACTCTTTTCAACAGCAGCCAGCTCTGGGAGAACACCCTGAGAAACCCATGGGGCCAGAGAATATGGGCTTAATGGGATGTTGGAGACTAGGTAGTGTCACCCCCTTATCTTAGAGAAGAGAAAATAAGGAGGCTCTCGGAGGGAGAGAGGCTTGTCCAAGGTCACACAAGGTCTACAGATGGGAGAGAGGTGGCCACAGTTAGGGCTCCTGATTCTCAGTTCTGGATTATAGAAATGCTGGCCATCCACAGAGACTAAAGGCCAGGGCCAGCACCTCTCCACAGTGACTCCAGCTCTAATCCCAACACTTCCCTGTTGAGCATTAACTGGGACAACTGATGGAAAGACATGGATGTTAGTCTCATTTAGAAACTCCTTGAAACTTCCTGGATTCCTCATCTGACACCAAATGCTCTATGGGATCAAATGTGACTTTAAAAAAGAAAATGTTGTTGGAGTGTTTGTATATGATTTTCTCCTAAAAAAAAAAAAAAAAAAAAAAAACCTAAGGGGGAAAGTAAAGCTCCCACGATGTCTTGGCCTCTGGCAGGTTTTACAAACAGCAGTGTGATGAGAAACACATGGAGAGCAGCCCCGCAGGAACAGTTCTGGGAATTTTGCTGCCCCCTGGAGAACCAGAAGGCCAGACAGCACACTGTTCCAGGGGCCTCAGAACGCAGGTCACCCCTCCTCTCAGCATCAGTCAATGTGGAAGCCAGCTGCAGTGGTGGCCTGTGATCGGGCCAGCAGGTACCTCTGCATGGGACTGAGGCACTGGCTTGGTGACATTTGCTAGGGGCTAACTGCAGTACCTGCCCCAGTCTTATAGCTACAAAGGCATCTGAGGGACACTTCTGGTGGGGGGTGTCCAGAGAGGTCGATGGTCTTGCCAAGAGGGCCCTCTTCTTAGCAGCCTTCTAGAGATGTGCATGTAACAGTTTTGAAGTTCTGCTACCTGAGAGTGCTGGATCACTGAGTCGCTAATGTGGCAGGAATGTACTTTGTAAAACTTCCTGCATTTAACTCCAATCCAGGAAATGACCTGGAGGAGAAGCAGCAGCCATCAGGACAGGTAATGTGTGCGAGAGAGGAAGGGGTAGAGTGTCCGCATCCAACGTCATCTAGCCCTGATGGATCACTGGAAATGGTTGAGAATGGATGAAGAGTCTGACGGTGATTCTCTGCAGAAAGACTGTTCAAAGGGTGTAGGATTCCCAGGGTCTCCAAGCCCCACGGTGGGTGCAGATTGGGGATGCCTGAGCCTGAGAAACAATGTGGGAGAGGTGTAGCCAGATTTGGGGTGGGGAGGAGGTGGGGAGGATGAATAAAGTGAGTGTGAAGAATAGAAGGCAGGAAGGGATCTGGGGTTGTCCTTTCACAGAGGAGGATTGAGACCCAGAGCAGAGAAGGGGCACATTCAGGAGGTTACAGCACATCACTGGCAGAGCCCGGAGCACACCCCAGCTGCACCCCTCCATCCTGACTCTGGCAAAAAATCCAGTGGGACACTCTGCTCTTCACTGCCTCACCCTCCCTGCTGAAACGGAGGGAAGTTGTCACTTGAGTAGGGGCATTACCTCTGAAAGAGAAAACACTAACTCCACCTCAGACTTCTTCTCTGGGCTCATAGGCAAAGTCTAAACTCTACTGAGTTAAATATCATTTGTTTTTTTAAGTAGGATTTGTGTGTGTGTGTGTGTGTGTGTGTGTGGTGTGTATTGGGGAATTCAGGGCCACTCAACCACTGAGCCACATCCCAGCCCTATATTGTATTTTATTTAGAGACAGGGTCTCACTGAGTTGCTCAGCGCCTCACTTTTGCTGAGGCTGGCTTTGAACTTAAGATCCTCCTGCCTCAGCCTCCAGAGCCTCTGGGATTAAAGGTGTGAACCGCCGTAATGTAGGATTTTGAACTAGTACTATTAGGCTGAGTCTCATATGGGATGCAACCCACCCCTTCAGGGCACTTCCAACCAAGTGGCTGGCTGGTGTCCTGTTCAGAGACACGTGTGGCTTCAATCTGTGGGGCTGCCTATTTGATTTAATTAATGCACTTACTTAAAGTCTACACTCAGTGGCTTCCAATGGGCTTGAGGCAATTTTCCACTCAGTGTGAAAATGAACTGTTCTATTAATATGGGCGACAAAGAAAAATTTTAAGGAAGAACACATCTGATTGTTTAAAGCCTTAATCAGCTGAGAGTTTTAATTTCTCAACAGGAGTTCAGTATATAGGCAACAAGTTACTTAGTCTCTCTGTGCCCAACTGTAAAATGAGGACAATGATGGCACCTCCCTCCCAGAACTGTGACAACAGTGACAGGAGTTGTAGCAGCTAAGTGCTGTGGATGGCGCTGGCCACTGAGTGCCCTGTGCTGATGAAAAAAATGAGGCTTTCAAATTAATACAAGCTGGGCCAGGGACGGTGGTGCACTCCTGTAATCTCAGATACTCAGCAAGCTGAGGCCGGAGGATCCAAGTTGAAGGTCAGTCTCTGCAACTTAGTGCTGTCTCAAAATAGAGAAAAGGGCTGGGGATGTAGCTCAGTGGCAGAGGCTTGCCTGTGTGTGCAAGGCCCCTGGGTTCAATCCTTAGTACCATCAAATAAACAAATAAATAAAATAAATTCAAGATGATGATTTTTAGTTGTCAAACTCCACTTATCTTACCTACCAAGTAGGTTCTGAACCCTTCCTATTCCTCTTCCCACATTTTACTGCCACTTCTTAGGTCTAGTCCTTTATTCTGTCTCATCTGGACTATCACCAACTGGTACCTCCTAATTGATTTCTCTACCTCAGCTTTACCACCCCTCTACACTACTACTTCTCCCAGCCCCCAAAGCAGACTCCCAGTCCTGTGCTGAAGACCTTTCAGGGTCTCTCCTGCAGCCAGAAGACCATACCTTACTCTCTATGTAATATTATTTTTCTAATAGTTTTTCAAAAAGTGTGATTGCTCTAATCTCTTCTTGAATGTTCTATAATGAACAAGTCGGACCTCTGATGACTTTCACTCCTGGTTGAGTCACTGGGGGTCCCTTTCTTGGCTTGTTTTTATTGTATGAGTCTTTCAGCATTTTTGGAATGAGGAGTCAGCCTCTGCTCTCACTTTGAGGTCTTCCGGGCAAAGTGAACTGGAGTGAGGGGGACATATGGGTCAAGGGAGGGGTGGTGGCCTTCCCAGGACTCCCCAAATCACTCTGTGTAGGAGTGACTGACTGGGTCCCCCTAACGGTATTCCTACTAGTGAGTGAATTTAGTGGAGCTGTGTGTGTGTGTGTGTGTTTGTTGTTGTTGTTGTTTTGCAGTTCTGAGGACTGAACCCCGGGATACTTTGACACTGGGCACCCCCAGCCTGTTATTTTTTATTTGGACATAGGGCTTTGCTAAGTTGCTGAGGCTGGCTTGAAACTTATTATCCTCTTACCTCAACCTCTCAAGATGGTGGGATTACAGATGGGTGCCACCAAACCCAGCCAGTAGGGCCATTTTGAGATTGCAGCCTTTGGGGATCCTACACTCTCTCTTTGAAAAGAGGATCCCGTCCTCTGGAACTGAGTAGCCTTTCTCAGGAAATCTGCCTTCCCCCAAGTAGCCCCCTTCCCTTTCATTAGCTCCAAATAGCTCATTACTTTTCAGGGGTCAAGGTCTCCTCCAGGAACTCCTCGATCTTATTGACATCTGTCTTCACATCTCCGTTGAAGGTCAGAAAGGGTGGATGGGTTCCAGGGGCTAGGTTGTGCAGGTCGGCTGGCTTTCTGTAGAGAGAACGAGATTCACATGTTGACACACACCAGGAAACTTCCTGTTCTGAGAAACCTAAGATTTATTAGACATTAGCCTCTCTGTGCTACCCCTATGTCCATCAGCAGAACCAGACCTACAGGGTGGGACAGGAGAGGCTGAAGAAAGTTCTGAAGTCTTGTGGTGTGACACAGAGACCTGTCCAGTGGAAGTCAGTGCCAGAGGAACCCCAGTCAGGATGGAGATGAGCACTGGAGAAAAAGTGGAGGGAATCAGCCGGGACTGCCTAAATCAGCCCCTTGCTTCAAGTGTGGGGGAAGAGGCTGGGCTTTGCCTTCAAAAGTTCCTTCACTTGTTAGTCTGACAAAAATGCGCTTCCACATCATTGGTCACCAGAGAGGCTGAGACTAAGGATTCTGCATCAAGAATCTACTGTGATTGGGTTCTGTTAGCAGATATCTAAGGGAAAGTCTTATAACTCAGAATTCAGGAGGGAAAGGGCCTAGAATTGTGCCTGGCATATAGGAGGCAGATTTTTTTGAATGGCTACATAAATAACATAGACATTTTTAATTTAAGAGGGAGATATTTTAACTGCAGAATTAGAAATCAAAGATTGGCCTGAAGTTGATAAAAACTTTCAGCTTTCAATTGAATGTGGAGAGGGCCAGAAAGCAATTATATGCAAGAGTGTTTGTACTCCACCTGTCTGCCTTCTGCACTGGTTTAACTTTGGAACTTAATTTGAGCACACACACTTTATGCTTAAAATGTAACGACTGTGATTCTAATTTTACTGAAAGGTACTTATTTTTCTTGAAATGTTTTAAAAATTCTGTTCAACACACAGAAATTAAAAGTATCCTATGAATCTGAAATTGTGCCTAATTTTTAAAATTATGAGGGTATTTTATGTTCTTAAGTTATAAATAATCCATTTTCTAGGTAATGAACTCAATTCAATATTAAGAAGCTTTGCTGGGACCAGTAGGATCTTTGAAGTTAAACATACATATAACAAGCAGCAAATGCAGTTCCTAAGAAGAGAGAAGGCCTCTTGCTTGCATGCTTGTAGGATTCTGGGTCAGAAACTTAAAGACATCTAAGATAACCAAAGCATCAGTGCACTCTTCCCCTGTGGAAACGAGGGAATGCAAAAGTCCTGAATCAGCTGGGTGCAGTGGCCCACACCTATAATTCCAGCTGCTCAGGAGGCTGAAGCAGGAGGATTGTGAATTCAAAGTCAGCCTCAGCAAAAGCATGGTGCTAAGAAACTCAAAGACACCCTGTCTCTAAATAAAATACAAAACAGGGCTGGGGATGTGGCTCAGTGGTTGAGTGCCCCTGAGTTCAAATCCCTAATACCCACCCCCAAATGTCCTATATTATCCAAAGAGGATAGCATTTTAGGTGATAAAGAGGGTGACATCCTGGAACACATCAAATGAGCAAGCAATCATAGATGACCTCTCTGCACGGCCCACTGTGATGCCAAGCATGGCCCTGGTTTGTGCTGGGTAGTGTACTGACAGCTGTGAGGAGGGACTTGGGGCGCCCACAGCAGGAAGGAACGTGTGTGACGTGGGCTCTGTGCATGTCAACATTGTGTTCTGTGGCCAAGTGCAAGTGCATGTGCAAGGCTGGAGCAAAAGGCAGATCAGAAGGGTTGGCAGATCAGGAAAGTGGAGAGGGAAGGAAGGAAGAGGAGGAATCATGGCGGAGACCTTGCTGGCAAGGGCTGGATGGGGAGAGCCACCCCAGATGCTCTCTCAGCAAGCAGTGTTTCTTGTGGGAGTCAGGCTGGAAAACATTAGAAGGAGGAACTGTGAAAAAGTAAACAAAGGGGCAGAGGCGTCTGTAATGAAAGAAATTCCTGGCTAAATCAGCTGGGGAGGGGACCAGAAGAATTTTAATTACAGGGCTCCTCCCTGGTCGCTCCCCACATGCACCCTCTCCAGATGCACTGTGGCACTTGGAACTCAGACAATTGGGATGGAAAGTATTTTTAAAATCTGATTTACTTAGTGCCTTTGTTTACTTTGTGTGTGTCCCTCCGTTTAGACAATGAAAGGACATTCTTGACTTGTTCCTTGCTTTCTAGTGCTCACACAGGCAGCCATGCCAGATTTCAGTTTTCAGTGGCGACCTCTCTGTGGTTTAAAGATACAGGAATTTGTTGTGGCAGTGGTGGAGTTTTTCCCTGGGACGTGAAGGCACCCTGGCTACTGGAGTCTGACACCCTGGGGGGGGGTTCTAGGGCTGCACTGTCAATGGGATGTTGGTCAGATGGGACCCTCTTGCTTTTCTTGTGGACCTCCTCTGGCATTTATAGTTGAAGTTATACCATTAGCATTGAACGACATATTGCTGGGTCTAAGGTGTAAGTTATTTAATGTGTATCAGTCTTCTTTTCCTAACTGGATTGCCAGCTCCATGGGGCAGGTATTGCTAAGAATAGCCGACAGGTATGGAGTTCCTGAAATAAGCCAGGTAGAATGCTGAATGCAAATAATTTTTATGGCCTGCCTCATTAGCTCCTCACAGATTCCCATTGATTAAGAAGGCAGTATAATTTTTCTCTGATGTACAGATGCGGAAACTGAGGCTAGAAGAGTGTAAGGTCACTCAGCCAATAAATGGTGGTGCCAGGATAAGAAATCATGTTCTTAGAAAATAATGTGTGTGTGTGTGTGTGTGTGTGTGTGTGTGTGCACGTGTGCACGTGTGGGCAGTATGAAAGTTTCCTTATCTGTAACACTGGAGTGGTGATACTCGCATGGCCTGTCTCAAAGGGATGCTGGTGGGGCCAGATGTGATCTGAAGGATGCTGGTGGCTCTCAGCCCCATTCTGAGCTCCAACTGAACACATGGGTCCCCGCTTAAAAATGATTGTCTATTCTTTCAAACTGTGTGAACACCTCTGGCTCTTTAATTGTCACCACAGACACTAACTGCATGGCACATGTGTGTTCCTTTACTTGATAGATATTAGTTGAGGACCAGTACACAGCTAGTTGCTGTGGCCTGTCCTTGAGGAATTTAAGGTCTTATTTGAAAGACACGAACTTTATAACTGATGTGTTTTGAAGATCATAAGGTTTAAACCAAGGTCACTGAGATTTTAGTAGCAGTCCCTCCAATTTCTAGTTCTCCTTGAGCAAACCTTCTAACTGTGCCCATCCCAGTTTCCTTGCATTAAGTGGAGAAACAGTCCTCCTTCACATAATTATATGTGGGTTTTTGTTGTTGTTTGTTTTATGGGAAAGCGTTTCCTGTGTAAAGTATGAGGACTGCAGCTATCACAACTTGGTGAAGCTATCATAATTGGGCTAACTTGAGGCCCAATGTGACCTAGACAACAGGTCTAGGTGAGTTTGGAGGAAGGTCAGTTGGTAAGTAGGTTCCTGGGCATGGTGAGGTGGGAGTCCTTGCAGAGGAAATGGGGTCACAGTCCAGGAGTGGGGCAGTCTGCAGGGACAGGGAGGAAGGTGCCAGTTTAGACAGAGGATGAATTCTGGACACAGGCTGCAGGCTACAAGGACCAAGAGCAGCAGAAGGTGAGCCAGCCTGACAGGTGTGTGGGAAGACAGTGTTGGGAAGAAGCAAGGAGAGGGTAAAGAGGGTCTCAGAGGCATTGATTCTATGGACAGCAGAGAGTAGGGAAGGCTTTCTGAGCAAGGGACAAGGCTCCTGATTAATAACCTTGGGATGGAAGGGAGGGGACCGGGTGTGGGGGACAGAACCTGAGAGGCTGAAGGCCCATTTGAAGAACAAAGAGACAATCAGTCTGGCAGTGGTGAGCCCTGAACCAGGTGTGGGCTTTGAGAATGGAAAAGAGAGAGTGCAATAGAAGTCAGTGGCCTAGGTCTGTAATCCCAGTGACTTGTGAGGCTGAGGCAGGAGGATCACAAGTTCAAGGCCAGCCTGGGTTAATTCAGTGAGGTCCTAAGCAACTTAGCAAGACCCTGTCTCAAAAGAAACAATAAAAGGTGCTCAGTGGCTTAGAGCACCCCTGGGTTCAATCCCCAGGATACCCCCCACCCCCAAAAGAAGGAGTTAATGGGAGAATGTGCTGACTTGGCTACTTACTGAGGAAGGTGGCAAGAGAAAGGAACTGGAAGCATTTTGGTGCCTAGAGAATGGGAAAGCAAGGAATCTAGGACGGGAACATGTTGCAAAGGGAGAAAAGATGGACACAATTTTAGACACAGAGGTTATAAAGTGACAATGGAATGTCCAAGTGAAACTATCTAAAAGATAGCCGGGATCTGAAGAACCAGGGAAGAAGGTGGGGGTGGAAGACAGACACTTAAGAGGAAGTCCAGATCCATTCCAGGTTTCAAGGACGGGTTGAAGAGAGGAACCCCCACATTCTGTAAGAGTGAAGAGCTTGGCTCTGGTATTGAAAGATGCCTGGTATTTCAACAGCTGTTAAACTGCCGTTTGAAAGCAGAGAGACTAGTACCTCTCTATCTGGGCCCATAATCCAGAACTCTCACGCCAAGGAATTCAGAAGATGGAAAGATACTGTGGGAAAAGGTCTGGATTGCAACTTCAGGGGTGAAGAGTTGGACTCAGCCCTGAAGTCCTCTAGTGTCCCACGGATGGTGGTGCCTGCATTGCTGGAATGGATACTCCTATGTGTTTGGAATTCTGCACCCATCTCTGCACCACACATTCTTAGTTGCAGAGCCAATGTCCACTCCTTCCTTTCTCCTTGCTAATCAGGCCAGTGAAGCGCTCAGCCCCAAGGGATACACCAGTTTTTGCAGCATCCCTTGTAAGGAAGGGTGGGCCTGGAGGCATGGTGCTAGGTAGTGAGGTGTGAGCAGGGGGCTGCTGCGACCATAGGGGGCATTTGCCCTCTCTCATTGAGGTTCTCTGTTCTTTTCAACTAAGAATATTCCTCGTGAATGCAGTGTCCTTTACCTTTTCAGATCCACCGTGGTGACGTTGAACACGACTCCTTTCAGCCAGAGGATCATAAAGAGACGCTGAGAGAAAGGACAGTTGCCAATGCTTTCCCCATCGATTCCAGCCTGGAAAGAAGAAAAGCAGAGTCCTGAGTGGACATGTGCCTACTAGCGACACCAGCATCATATCATATACACTAACACCAGTGCCAGGAGCACCACATCCCCGTTTGACTTCACAGCCAATAGTCCTACATTCAACTTCTTTGTTTTTCTAATACTTATGCATGACCATGCCTGGCACCATGTATTGAATTGAACTTGAGTTTCCAGCATGGAGATTTTGTAGGATCATAACTTTCTGAAACCATAGGACCTTGATATCTCAGGGCAAAAAGAGGGCCTCCAACATCACAAAGGTCAACATAAATCATACTGGGACACCAACTTCTTCATCCCCATGTAATCACCTAATCTATGCCTGAATATCTCCATTGACTGGTAATTTATATCCCTCAAAGCTTTCCTTTGCCTGCATCTAGCCAAAATATGGTCCCGTAAAATTTGCCCTCTCTACAGGAACACAAAAACCAACCACAGGTCGCATCACTGAATGCCTTCACACGTTTTTCATTCATTTCCTCTGCTCATTATCTCCTAGTGAGTGTTTTTGCATCTGGGAGACAAGTCTGTCTGTCTTCTACACCTCTAAGGGGGATGTAGAGCCATGCATAAAAAATTTAGTTCAAGCAAACACGTAGCAAACACAAAAAGGCTGGGGAATGGGTCTCTGCATAGTTTGTTTCCATGGAATGGTTTCTTTGCCCCTGATATGGTACTGAGAGGAAGAAAATATCCCATTCACTCTGGTCTTTGAAGCCTCAGTGCCACCAGGTTCCTGGAACATGGGACTCCACTGTTGGGGAGGGATGGGGAGTCAAGACCCCAGGCTTCCTTGCAAAGCTGTTAACGATGCAGCCAACATCCAGGGCTTGGGGCTCACTAAGAATGATTTTTTATTTTTTTAAAGAAGGAGAAAACAAATGCCATCTCAATGCTCAACGCATTATTTTCTCCCTTGACTTCCCTTGTGCTGTGGCATCCGGGGACAGCCCAAGACACTGTCTGGCATACATTAGTGCCTGATCCTGTGCTTATTTCTGCTTTGCAATTCGCTCCTAGCAGAGGCTCAGATTTATAATGGAAAACCATGGCCTTTGACAGTGTTGGTTGAAGGTAATTGCTATGAAATTATAGGTCTTTTTCCCCCTTCTTAACTGTACCCAGAGCCACACTTCCTATACAGGTTTCACTTGTCCTGGGTGCCTTGAGCAGCCGGGACAGCAGGGGTTCCCCTATGTGGACCATGCATATGCGCAGAGAGCTAAGAAAAGCCAAAAAGCATGTTAGAACCTGCATCTATCAGTGACGCCATTGCTGGGCACACACCTGTGTTCATCATGTCAGGTGCGGGGTCCTTGGTCTTTTATGACATCCCCACAGCAGGGATTTCCCCCCAGGGCCAGTTATAATCTAAGTGACAAGAGAACTTTAAAAGACAAAAACAACAAAAGCCACACCCACATACAGCTATCTGATTTTCCTCTGGTGGTGGCAGTGGAAGAACAAGGGATTAAAGAAGGGAATTTGTAAAATACTAGAATTCTTAGCTGGACCAAAAGTTCCTGTGAGAATGTCAATAGCAACAACTAATGTCCACATCGTCAGGTTTTGCTAGAGTGATTGACATACACCATTAACTCATTTATTCCTCATGAGAAGCCTGTAATGGACATCATCCCTTAGAGATGTGCAGATGGTGGCACAGAGAGGTGATATAACTGGCCTGAGGGTCCCAGCGTGGTGAAGCCAGTCGGTCTGGCTGGAGACCTGGCCCTCCTAACTGCCATGCGTGAAGTCCAGTCTGAGGGTCCACTAGGTGACGTGTCCTCCCAAGGTCTCAAGACCCGTGCAGGGAGGCTATGGTCTTGAGGTAAGACATCTGTCCTCCAGGATGTCCCCTCAGCAATGCCAGGGTTTCGGCAGTGGTCTCTTTTCATCTCCATACCTTTTCATTCTCTTATTAACATCATCTTACATGATGATTCTAGGCCTAGTAAACAGAAATTGCCAAAGGGTGAACAGGCTAAGTGGGGTCTCTGTGGTTTACCTCTGTACCCTGGCAGCTCTCTTTCAGGTTTCTCTGTTCTCCTTCAAACCTCATAGCTCTGTGGCCCTGATAATCTATTTGTTAAGCTCTTGGGTTAATGTTTGTGGTCATGACTCAAAACATCCACAGAGAAGAACTAGCAGGGCCCCACACCCTAAAAAGTGTGAGGGGAAACCCAGATGGTCTTTGTTCCAAGGGGGTTCTGAGCAATGGGGACTGGAGACTAGTTTGAAGGTGGTGGGCTAGGCTGAAAAGCATTCCCCGAAACTCCTCTCCACCTGGAAGCTGTGAGTGGGGCCTAATTTAGAAATAGGATCTTTGCAGAGGTAATCAAGCTTAAGAAGAAGTCATATTGGATTAGGATGGACTCTAAATATGACTTGTGTCCTTATTACAGAAATTTGGGCACAGACATACAAGGGAGAAGGTCATGTGAAAATGGAGGCCTGGATTGGAGTGATGCACCTCCAAAGGGTGCCAAGGAGTGGAGGAGACAAAGAAGGATTCTTCCCTAGAGCCTTTGGAGAGAGCTTGGCCCCTCTGACATCTTGAATTTGAACTTCTAGCCTCTAGAACTGTGAGAGAATAAATTTCTGTTGTTATAGGCCACAGAGTTGTTAACAATGACCCTAAGGAACTAATGCAAGTGGGTAACTGTCAAAAGGGCAATGGTAAGAGGCTAACAGCAAGCCTTCCAAGTGTGTGGTTGTGCTTTGCTCTGTGGGCCTAACGTGCATGTGCTCAATTGTCAGGTATAACCCCAAAGTACTTCTTGTTCCCCAGATATACAATGTATTATGAAATAGTCTACCACTATAATATTACATGGGATAATAACAATAGTAGCACAATGTAATTATAGGTTGTATATTACATGTACAGTATATGCTGGTTAATTCATATTCACGTTATTACATTTTCTTTTCACGAGATGTCCCCCACTATATGTTGAGCATGGGTCCACTGGAGCATGGGCCATATTTTATTTACTTTGTCTTCAGTAGCAAGAAACATAGGAGCTTGACACTGAACTCTGATGCTTAGTACTTGTTTAAATGTATGCATGTTGAGGCGAGGGTGACATTTTTCCATTTTCATAGCATGAGGCTTTCAAAATTCTCTCATTGTCCTCCGAAGAGTGTCCTGGGGGGAAGCAACCAATCCGAGTTCTGTAGCCCACAGAAGCAGGAGGTTGTGGTAGTAGACGTATCTTGGTCTGTCATTTACATATGACCAACCTTGGGGTAAAGAAGTCTCCTTTGGCCTTGGCCTTGACTACCGCACCTACATTTTCCTGCAGTTTGGAGAATGCAAATAGTGAAGGGAGATTTAGGGTAGTGGTTCTTAAACATTTTGGTCTTAGAGCCCTTGTCTGCTTTTAAGGGCTAATGAGGATCGCCAAGAGCTTTTCATTTATGTGGACTCTAGTTAATAATATTTACTGTATTCATTAACTCATGCTGAAAATGTTTTAAATATTTATTCATTCATTTAAATAGAATAATAAGCATCCTAACATAAATGACATTTTAATGTATTTTCTGAAAACAAAACTTTAGTAAGAAAAGTGCTATTGTTTTACATTTTTACCAATTCTGTAACATCTGGGTTACTAAGAGTTGGCTTTTGCATTCAATCTGTTGACATGTGGTTGTGTATATGAAGAAAATCTGGCCTCACACAGATATAACTGTGGGAGAGGGAGGAGAATTTAATGGCCTTTTCAGTTAATCATGGGTATTCTTCAATACCATAATGAAACTCAACAAGTGGTAGGTTCTTAAGGATTGGCAGATAAGTGGAATTTGAAATCACATAAATGGCATTGTTTTCTGTTCCACCAAAACCTACTCACTTATCTTGCATTTTAAATGGATCTTCATCCATTAATGAATTTGTAACAAATAAATTGTGATATGGAAAATAGTGTTTCATTGAGTCATGCCAATCCTCCTCTACATTTCATTATAAAACATTTTAAAATGCATTCATCAATACTGCCACAAATCTCATCAAAAATGTTAAGCTCTTAAGCTCATGGTAGTAGCTACACTTTTTTTATTCTAATTTTCTCTTGAAATCTTACATTTTATCATTGGCAGTAAACACCATCAGTTGCTATCTTTAAATGACCTGCTCATTCCATCATCTTTTCTAGAAACAGTCTGGCTAATACTAAGTCTGAGTAACCACAGTATGTGTGTGCACGCACGTGCACGATCTCACACACGCCAGTTCAAGTAAAAATCATGTTCTGTGAAGGACACACAGGTGCCTCTTCCTTTGAGAACCATAGTTTTTTTGAATTCAGCCACAGAGGAATGTGCATTTCCCTACCCATAAGCCAGAAGGTTCAGCAGACATGTACGCGAGGAAAGAGATTTCATTGCACTGTGTAAATTTTACTGCTTCATCAAGAACATTCATAATTGAGACTGGTTCTTATTTCTTTGCATGCATGACTTCAAGTTCTATCTGTACTGCCCCTTTGGTTTGCTGAAACACCAGCAGTTTCCCCACCAAATGCCAAGCCTACTGTCTTGGAAAATAGCGGAGATCTTTCAGAAACCCTGACAGCCTCTCAGGGACCCCAGGAGTCCAAGAACAACATGGAACAACTGTTGACTTAAGACTTCCCATGAACAGTCCAGGTGTGCAGAGCTTGGACTGCAGACAACCAAGGGAAACTAATGATTGCCCAAAAGTCACTTTTAGATAACCAGGTCAAGAAGGGGGAAGAATTGGATCCAGAAGAAACAGCAGGAGATGCACAGGTGACATTTAAGCATGACGGGTATGTTAGTAGTCAATTTTTTTCCCTCTCAGCTCCAATGCACTCTTGAATCTACACTAGGTGAGAACAGGGAGAATACCTTTAAGCCTTTCTCCTCTAAAGGCTTTCTCTGGAAAGAGCCCTGGAGGGACATTGCGGGAGGAAATGGCTCCCTTGCTATGG